AAATAATACAAATGAATGAAGGCATTTCCAATCAGGCAAACTGGTTCAAAGTCTTGGACAATATGAACTCGAAATACTCTTGATTCTTTCATAGCTGGATGCTTGACAATAGCGTAGGCAAAACCTTTAGAAGGAACGACTTGTTTTGCAGCGATTCCTTTTAATGCTCTAGCATAAGGGATTACATGAGCTCCAAGTTCATCAGCAAGATTAGCGTCAAGAGCAGATAGCGTAGAACCAGTATCAAGCAATACTCGACCTTCTCGGACCAATTCTCGAGTTGGCTTACAAAGCTTGAATATGGCTTGTGGCATGTGGCAAAGATCTAATTCACCTAATTTAGTAATAAGCGGAATAGCAGGAGTTGATGAGAGTGTCCAAAGAAGACCTGGGTTTCTCAAAGCATCAGCTTGAGGTTCAGGAGGAAGAGTGATGGCTAAATTTGAAGAAGATGGAGTGGTGTTTGCAGGGGAAGTTGCACTTGGGGGTGCAGTAATTGCTCTTACATTTGAATTGTTAGGATTATTAGAAGTATTGGGGCGATAATTTGGATTATTTTGGGGTCTAGTTCGACATTGTTGGAGGGTATGACCTGGCTTTTTGCAATAGTTACAGGTAATTGGGTTTGAATTTGAATGAGAGGGTTGATTGGAACGGTAAGGTTGAGTACGATTGGTTTGATTTCGGGTATCAGGTTTTCTTAATAAGTTATTAATAGTGGAAGTTCGAGGAGGTTGAGAGGGATTGGATTTATTTTTATGATAAGTTTTACTTTGTTCTGTCTCGAAATGTTTACGAATGAGTAAATTAGTTATTTTTGGAAGGTCATCATTGATGCCTAAGGTATTAACTTCAGAGAGAATATAATATGGAAGGTGATTGAGAAGTTCATGTTTGAATACTTCTTCGGTATAAGTTCCTACTGCTTTAGTAAGGGAAGTGCGTAATTTTATCAAAAATGTATTAGGATGATCAGTTGGATTGTATTTGAGCTGTCTTAATTGAAATTGTGCAGAATACTGCATTGCAGGAGTTTTAACAGCATTGATTAACGCAGTTAAATACTCTTTATAAGTACTGATAGTTGGATCTAAAGTTTTAGACACAGCTAAAAGTTCATGAGCTAAACCTTTTTTAAAACATCTCAAACGTGTGGCATCGTCAACGTTCTCTTGAGCGAGTCGTTGTTCTGTATTTGTGATAAAATCAATGGCATCTTCACCTTTTTTAAATTCAGTAACATGAGGATCTGGTTTCAGATTTGAAAGAGCATTCAGAAGGAATTGAGGATTTACTTGGGGTTCACTAGCTGTAGAGGAAGGTGAAGGATGAAATAATGGAGGAGGTTGATTGGTTGGTTGGGCTATGGGATTGATATGAGCACCTAAAGAGTTCAAAATCTCTAAGAGTTTTCTCTGAGATTCAAGAGGGATAGGGATTGAGCAAATATCTGCATAAGTTATGCGTAACATAGCCTCACGATCTCGACCTAATGTTCGTATTATGGTCTTTATCTCGTCTTCAGTGATTCCATTATGTCTGCATTGAGTCATCCAATCGGGAACAGTAAATTGAGTAACTGTAGCGGTAGGAAGACATTCGATGTCATCATCAGGTAATTGTTCGCCAACAGATAACAGATGCGTTTTTATGCACTCGAAGAATCTTCGTTTTGCTAGACATGGGATCGGGACGATAACACTCCAACCTTGTAAAGTTTGAGTCATCATTTCAAGAGTCATTTCATAGACGATTGGTTCATCGGCTGGGACATTGAATTTTCTTCGTCTTTGAACTGCCATAATGAATAAGTTGAATAGTGAAAGATGCAAGGAAAGTAAATCGGGATATCACTTAAGTGATGGTAAAGATGAATGCTGGTTGAAGATTAAATTGTTGAAAGTGAAGGAACTTGAATTTTAATTGTTCTGATTAGAGTTGAATAGTTAAAGTTGAATTGAATGGTAATTGAGTTCAAAATTGGAAAGTTAGTGTTCAGTTGAAATTAAAGTTGAAATATTCTTGAAGAATGAAGTTAAAGTTGAAGGTAATTCAGAGATTCTTTGAGGAATTGAATTAGTTGAACAGAGTTTGGAATTGTGGAAGGATATTCTTAAAGGAATAACTGGAAAGAGACTTGAGACAATTTTACCTTGGAAGAGTTATATGGAAATAACTATTGTGATCCTGATTATGAAGAGATTATGGAAAATCTTTGAATTGAATTTGAATTAAATTTGAAGGAATAGTTCTTAAGAACTGAATCAGGCACATAAAGGGCACGGCGAGTCCGATATTCTAAGAGTTTGAAGATAACACAAGTGTAACCTTCAGAAAGGTCAAATTATCACAGAGTCTTGAAAACACACACAAATAACGAAGGCACAGAACTTAGCAATCCTGCCGAGGTCGCCAAGTGAAAGGTTTGTTACGGAAGTAATCTGATGAGAAGACTGCTGAACTTGCTTTCACTACAAGTTTTAGATTCGTATCTAGGATCACTAAATGATCTATACCTTTGAATCTGTCTGAGTTTAGGAATATCTCATAAGAGATGAAGAACACAATTCATAAAAGAAATACCTTGAAATATCTTTGAAAGATTTTTATTGAAATTAACTGAATTGAAATTAAGAGTAACTTGGTTTTGTTGAAAGATGAATATTTCTCAAGAAATACAATGGAAAAGAGTTACTAAAATTAAGAGATTTACTTGAGTAATTGAAGTGTGACTTACAGTAAGGAATATGGTAAGTAAGTAAAAAGAATGAAATTTTATGGTTTTTATAACCAATGGTAAAACAAAAAGAACAATTTTTGGAGGGAATGAAGAAAGTAAATTATTTTCTCTGTCGCAATGATGTCTGGTTTTGGTTCTTTACCAGTGACCAGTTTTTTACTCTTAGCTTAATTAACACTATCAAGCTTGTAGCCTTCAACTCTTACTTACATGTCTTGAGACATATATCTCACGAGAGATAGCTGTAGCTTTATCAGTGCTTTAAGGATTAGATGAAGGTGAAACAAAAGTTGAAAAATTAGTTGAAAAAGAAAGAGATTTTTACCAGTCTTTCTTAATGGCACTTAATTTTCAACCTTAAGATTTGGTCAATTCTTAACCTGAATTGTGGTTAAGATTACAAGTTTTTAGGGCGACTTAGGAAAGGATTTACTCAGGATTTGGACATTTGAGAAGGCATTATTTTCATGATTAACATAGTTTTCTAGAACTGTAATAAATATATTGTTTAAACAATGAATGATTAACTGAATTAGGATGAATTAATTGAAATTAAAAGAGATGATTCAAGAGATTGAGCTGAAAATGGAAATGAATTGAATGAATTTACTAAGGCAGAAATCTACCCTTCAACTTATTACATAAAAAATTTAATTACACACTAATATTTAGTTGAATTGTAAACACTCAGGTTTATTTTTTAAAGGGTCATCGCCAGACAGGCTATTTATCGTCATCATCATCACTTTCGACAACCTTCGCAGTTCGTTCACTAGATGATTTTTTCTTATCCAGGTCACTATCTGTATAGATATTATAACCAGCACCTCCTTTCTTGTAACGTTTTTTAATTGCTGATAAAGATACACCGCCATCATCATCATCATCGTATGAATCAGGCTCTAGCCTTTTCCCCGCACTCTTCTCATTTTGTTTTCTCGTCTAATAGATGCCTTTAACTTGTCTTCTTCCTTCTTGATCATTTCTTACCTGAGGGCTTCAGAGTCTTTACCAACGTTAGGTAAATCACGAATCTTTTGAGTTTTATGACTTCTTTCGGCTAATGAAAGGGTCATCTTACGATGTGTAAAACTATCAGTTGAATGAGGTCGGAAAGTAAGTTTTGTTTTGAAAACGGCTTGCCCTTGTAGACCAGTCCCTTGACGAATGAAAAGATGATTATTATCACCAGCCATTAAGCTTTGTTTATGAATATCAAAAATTTCAGATCCAAGGTGTAGAGACATGCTACCATCTGACCATTACTATTCTGGCATTACTTTCTTTTAGAGACACTCCATTCTCGTCAACTACGGTTCTCCATCTTATTGTTGATTCAACTTTCAATTTTAATCGATGTCTTCCTTCTTCATAAAGAATTTCGTCTTCATCGATTTCATCTTCATACCAAGATGGATCATATGGATGAGTATCAACACTTAAAAAATTGGGTAATTTAACAAAATGAATATCATTTCCGAGTTCAGTTGGAATCTTTGGAATTTCTACTTCAATACGTGTGATGGGTATCTCTTCTGGCTGCTCTTCTTCCCTTTCCTCTCCACCAGCAGCTTCTCTGCTTTCATCTTCATCATCAAGATCAAGATCTGCAAGCACATCATCTGCATCAACTGCGTGAGTGACTTCCCTGTCGTCATCAGAGTCACTTTCGTCATCTTTTTCGGCAGCTTTCTCTTCTTCCATCTCTTCATCTTTTTCTTCTTTGTCATCATCCTTGTCTTCGTCGTTTTCACTTTCTTCTTCTCTATCATCATCTTCATCCAGATCAGCCATGACTTCATCAGCTTCTTTTTCCTCATCTGAATCACTTTCTTCTTTAACTTCAACTTTTGATTCTTCCATTTATTCGTCATCATCGCTATCTTCCTTATCTTCATAATTTTCTTCACGATTGTCTCCTCTGTCATTCGAATTGGCTATTCTGCTTCACTTTTACTAGAAGATCTTGAAGAATCATTTTATTGACTTTCAGAATCGAGATCATCTTCATCCCTTTTGCTTGGAGCCATGATAATCACAGAATTATAAGAAATACTTGAGAAATAATTTTGAAAACAGTAAAATATGATTAAACGGTGGTTGAAAGATACCTTAGGGATCAGAATCTTTAAAGGATGCATTTTATGATTGAGTACATAGTACTCTATGGCGATTTTTTCAAATCTTTTTAAATGAACTTTTATTTTAAACAAAACCAAGCAAGCAAATGAGTATACGGAAATTCCTAATTTTATTCAACAAGTTTGTACTATAGTCATTTGGCACTATTAGTGCTATAGGTGGGATTAGCAGCATGTTTTTTCAGGTTTTCATTAGCTTTAACCCATGATTGATTACAAAAAATTAATACACGACGACAAGGAAGATATTCTTGATCTCCCTCATCCCAATCACCACCGATTGTGTCTGAATCGCATTGATTGGAAACATGTAACTCATAACGATAATCCGCACATTCATCAAGCAGTTCTTCTTCTGGATTGAGAAATATTACATCTTCCTTATCTTGCTTTGATTTCTTTTTTTCCTTATACCGTCTTTTAGGGTAAAGTATTTTACAGATCAACATGTAGCATTCAAAATCAACTTTACTGGCTTTGAGTTCCTTAAAAATTTGTTCAAATGAAGGAACAGCTAATTGCCAACCCAAATTAACGAATCTTTCGTTGATGATCCAAGCTTTCTTTGCATCTCCTTTGATTATTTTTTCAATTTCGGACTTTTTCTCTCCAGTCAAATATTTGGTGAAATATTCCATAAGTTGGCCACACCATTCTGCATTTGCATGATTTCCGTCGGAGAGGTTAATAAAGCTAATTAAACCGAGAACATTGTCTTCATCAGAATCTTCCTCATCACTATCATCATCTTCCTCTTGATTGATCTGTCTAATTATGGCTCCAATCTCTTTCTGATTTAACAAAGTCTCGCTTAACTTATTCAAATTGATGTTGTCCTTATGAAACAATTGTGTCAACATTATTTTGATGCCATTTAGATCTTGTTCCAAAATAGGACAAGCTTCAAAATCGGCATTAATTTCCTAAAAGCAAATCGAGAAATGAAAACACTTTAGATTCAGTGAAGAAAGTATAACACATAATAACGAACTTACTTTATTAGCCTCAATTTCATCCTCTGAGTTGATTGCATCTTCTTCGCTGTCACTAGTCGAGCCAGTAGAGTTTTTTCAAAATCTACTCGTTTTTCAATAAAAATTCAATAAAAAATATAATCTAGATTAGAATGGGTTACTGGTGATATTATCATTATGATGAAAATTCGAGTTTCATGTAATCATGTATTCATAAATCTGGATTTATGCAAAAAAAAACTTTTTTCTGCCAAAGTATAGCAGATAAAGTTTTGGACAAATTCAAGAATAAACTGAGACAGTTAGATTATACTTTTAGGCATCAATTAACTGTTAAAATAAAATAAAACTTTGTTGAGTGAAAATGGGTTAATTTTGATAAAAAATTGCGAAGTTGTTACGTTAAATGGACAAGATCGACAAAATCTGATTTCTTCTTCCTTTAGTTAAAATGACTTCGTTAGTCTTCTTTCATTTATAAACAATTTGTCCAAAACTTTACCCGTCATACCTTATCATGCTAACTCAAAGGTTTCTTGTGTTGAATTAACTGTATTTTGTGTATTATTGTGGGAAAATTTTCGATAATTAACCTCACAGTGACCTTATAACCAACTTTCTTGGTTTAACTTGAATTTTAGGTTAACAGAATTAATAATTGAATAGGGAAGACTATATTGTTTTGTTGATTATGTGGGATGTCAGTAAATCAACATTATTAAATCATTTTTACCTCTCCATCTGATTTTTTCAATAAATTACTCACTTTTTATTCACAATTTCATCTTCCATGGATAACAAAAAATCAATTACCGAGATCAATCATCAAGACCAGCTATTATATTAATATTTCATCAGCTGAACCACCAAGGGACCGCCAAAATGTTATAGTGATTTTCTCGGCACGTTCTTCACCGGATAAATTTTCAGCTTTCTTTTTAAGATCTTTAAATTTGATAAAAAGATCTTCAAATTCGAGATCTTGGTTTTCACTAAGGCTCTCGAATATTTCTTTATTTTCTTCTATTATGGAATCAACACGTTGCCTAGTTGAAGTGTCATTGTCTGAGCTTAATTCTTGTTATTATAATTATCAGGATTGCTTAAAGAGACAGTTGCAGCTAAGCTATTCTGAAATTCCTTTTTCAACAATTTTCAAATTTAGGGGAAGGTTTATATTGTGGTGTTTCATGCATTTCCATCATAGGCCAAGTGTGAGCACTCAAAGCTTGCATTATCCTTTTGATTCCATCTGAATCAACAAAATCATTCTCGTACTCATCCTCGCTATCGATTTCAGCATCCAATTCAATTAATTCAAATTCATTATTGATACACCATTTCATGCAAGTTGTTCTGTCAAAAAATGAATCGTTGATAGCCTTTTCAGCCACTAGCAATCTTATATCAGGATCATATTCATCGATGAAGGGTTTCCATGCATGAAATTTCTGACAGTATAATTCATCATTGTTGTCGAGAAGGATGATGATGGCTTGGATGGAATCGGCGAATTGTGCACTGATAAGATCACAATCTAAAATCTCAATGAAATGGACATCAGCCTCATAGTATTTTGTTGATATGTGCCAGGGATAGCATGTAAAGGAATGGTTACCAAAATTTTTTCAACATGATTAGACGGTTCATAGGAGTTTCCAACAATTTCTGAAGTAAAAAGATGTCGGTAAATCAACTTTGCTCAAAGTATTCAAAAAATCTAATTTTGCTGATGAAGGAGAACCTACTGTTGGTGTTGACTATTTTGCCACTATTGTTGACCTTACCAATGGCTTAAGAGTTAGACTACAAGCTTGGGACACAGCAGGACAAGAAAAATTCAGGTTATTTAATCAAAATCTATTCTTTTACGATAATTTAATCATGCCACCTATATTATTGAGGTTACACTGTTTTCACATTGTTTTCATTTCACCAGAATTGCCTCTCCTTCAGTTAACTTGATTACCATTCTCATATATCAAATGAGTTTGGATGAACCGAAAATTATAATAAATCTGATCAACGTTTTTAGGTGTTTTTATTCATATACATGTATTTATCAATCATCTATTATAAATAATCTAAAGATGTCAGATTGATTCCACCAGTGGATTTATTCACCATAGTAAAAGGTCTAGATAGCATTTCAACAAGGTTTTTTGACGATATGATATGACGATGCTTGTTCACTGAAGTATCCAGATGTTAATAATAGAAGCTTATGATAAGAAGCTCCTATCTATATCACATTAGCTTGTATAATTTTGTGTCGAGGCCAACCCATTATATCTTTCTGGTGCTAATTTAAACAAGAAAAGTGATTTAATTTGATTCGCTCTATTGCCAGTCTACTCACTTTTTCATTTTCATTTTTCATTTATTTTTAAAGGCCCATTACTAAATCTTACTATCGTAACTCAGTCTGCACTTACTGCTTTTCGATGTAACCCGGAGATCCTCTTTTGACCATTTAATTGATTGGCTTTTTTATGTAGGTCGTCACATCGAACCAAGAAAAGCAGTCTATCAAATTGTCGGCTGCAAGATTGATCTGGAAAATGAGAGGGAAATTTCAAAAGAAGAAGGACAAGCCTTTGCTGATTTCCATAGTATCAAGTACATCGAAACATAGGCTAAAACTCGGCAAAATGTCGATCAAGCTTTTAAAATGATTTCAGAACAAAATGCAAAATTAAGGAGAGGAGAGTTTACTTTGAATCCAGAATGGGATGGAATCAAAGCTGTTTCATGGCATCTTTCTAGCATTGTTGACCGATCGACAAATGGCTCGTTTAGCTCTATCAGCGATTCAAATGGATATAGAATTTTGAACAATGACAATCGACGACTCCGAGGAGCCGCTAACAGGAGTTCGAGAAGCAACCGAAGCAAATGCTGTTGATGCACTTGGTGGCAAAATACGAAGCATTCAACTATTAATGAAGTTTAGTGACTTTGACTTAACATTTGCATTGCTAATGCAAAACTTTAATCAAATAGTTCACAAACTGTTCATTAATCTGTGGACTATTCATTCCTCCGTAGAAACTTTCATGAAGCAAATTTTTCTCTCCTCGAGTCCCTTGTAGTTGCTATCCATTACCAATAGTGAAATAACTTTTGCTTGACTTTTGTTTGCTTCTCACTTTCCGAGTCTTCCATTTTTTGAACCGTTAATTGTTTCCATTGATCATTTGGTTAATCATTTATTGCTATTGTATTAATTGTATTCAACTGTGCTCTTGAAATGACATTTATGCATATTTTTTCATAGATTATCATTTTTCCCTTCCAAAGGAATATGTTTCTTACTTCGCCTTGTTGGGTTTGTTAGACACCGTTGTTGGCTTCAACTACATCAAACCGGCCTGATCTCAACTCGATCCATTCGTCAACAAAATCTCTTTTAACATCTCATGGTGGATATAACACAATCATTTAGTTTATTTTGTTTTTGGACCTTCATTCCATCCTGACATTATTACCAAACCTTTTTTGTTTGATCCATGCTTCAACTAACTAACTTCTTAACTTAACTTCTGTTGATTATGTTAATCAATCAACTTTCAATTGTTTCAACAAAAATCAATGTTTTTTTTAAAAGTTTTATTCATTTTCAATGGATTCTTTGACTAGGGGAAATTGCATCTTCATGTTGATTAAATTCAGTGTTTCTTCGACCCACTTGTTCCAATTTTCTTTAAGTTCAGAATCCAAAGAGTTAAAGCAAGTTTCAACCACTGCTATGTCCTTAGTCGATAGGATGTGATTAGCAATTTTGATTATGTGTCCCATGTAGGCCGGTTTAACAGGTGATTGGTTTTCTTTGAAATGTGTGTAAGTATCGAGTATTTTTTGGATTAAGTTGTATTCAACCAGTAGTTCATCTCTAGTTCACCCTAGTTCACATTTTCGATTTCTTTTGCAGGATATATTTCTCCGTCTTGACCATTCCTTTCTCTTTTATTTCGGTGGGACTTGTTACAGGTGAGGTAGATTTTGGATTGTCTAGAATGCAATTAATACTTTGCTCAACTTGAGTGTGTAGAAAATTGTTGTATGGATATCGTTTTTAGAGTAGTTAATTTGCGGTTAATTGTCGGATTATTGCTACTTAATAAAGCTCGGATGAGATGAACCACCTCAACTCTGGTGGCGCCGAACGGTTTCTCAATTAAGCCAATTGTAGTTCGGACTGGGCTCTTTTCTGGCGGGTTGGTGAGCAGGGAATGAAAATCTCCGAGGCGAGGCACGATTGCAGCATGAACCTGACGCACACTTTTCGTTAATCGTTCAATATCGAGCGGTGTCATCAAATCTGGTAACGCTGTTTCGTTGACAGAAAACATGGGATATGAAACTTTTTTTCCATTGTGCCAATATCACCGATTTCAATTTTACTTTCTGCGCCAGTTTCTTCATCAACAGGAAGTTATTTTGGCGGCAGATTGGCACGATAGCGGCGATATTCCAGAAGAGCTTGGATAACTTGAATACCATTAACCAGGCATGACTCAGTTCTCGTTTCAAACATATTGGTTAACAAGTTAGTTATTGTGTCAGTCGATTCTATATCATCCAATAGAGAGTTTGGTCCAGCATTTTCTTGATTGCAAGTTTGATGTTCTCGACTGAATCGAATTATATCGCAAAGTAGCTGGGCTGCATTCGATTGAGCAGCTGGATCAACATCTGCCTTAAACAGCGCAATCAGTTTTTCCACCAATCCTTGTTTGTGATAGAACTGTCAGCAATAAAAATAAAATCAAGATGTGAGATTTAAGATGCGAAATCTGCGGGAAAATAAACTTACATTAAGGTAAGCTGATGATATTTCGGGCGAATCAGAGCATGAAAGAGATTTAAAGAGAAGATCCATAACTGCTGAAGTGCCAACGTGGGCAACTAAAGATGAAACAAAATCACCTCGCCTCGAGTGAATGTCTTCAGAAACTTTAGAAACGCGGTAAACTAAATATCATTTTGCAATTAAGCCAAAAGTGGGTTCAATGGTTCTGCAGATTGCAGCTTTTCATACAAAGACACTAAATCAGGATGGTTAGCAAATGTTTCACAAATTTGACTTTTTTCGGAGGATAACACCTCACAGGCCATGTTAGCATATTTATATCTATTTCTTTCATCAGTTCATAAGCATCATCAGGTGGGTCAGATGTAACCAATGTGACCAGTTTCATTAAAATATCGGGTTGACAGAGACTGAAAAAATAAACGAGAATAATTATTAGATAACAGAGAAAAGACATTTTCTATCGCATTGTTCATGACAATAGATGGGATGGATAAATGTCAATTATATAACATATTATCATGCATATCTAAAATATTTCAACTCACTAATCAATAAGCAATTTATTTCCCAATTTACATTCGTGTAGTATATCTTCTTGATCCAGAATAGTCTCTAATGTTATGCTGACACTAGGAATTACTTAACCAGCTTGACGGATTTAGTTCTCAATCTGATATAAAGATTATACATTTTGTAGCTGCTACAAACAGAGTAGACATTCTTGATCAAGCCTTACTTCGATCCGGTCGTTTGGATAGAAAAGTCGAATTCCCTCGAAGGAGGCTCGATCTCGCATAATGCAAATTCATTCGAGGCGAATGAATGTTCATCATGAAGTTAATTTTGAAGAATTAGCCCGCTGTACGGACGATTTTAATGGTGCCCAGTGTAAAGCAGTTTGCGTTGAGGCTGGTATGATTGCTTTACGTCGTAATGCATCCATAATAATCCATGAAGATTTTATGGACGCTATTTTGGAAGTACAGGCTAAAAAGAAGACAAATCTCAACTATTACGCCTAATTATATATTCAATTAAAAAGTCATTGTAAATGATTCAGAATGGTTTCATTAAAGCTCCTTGTTTATAATGATTTTTTAGTATTTTCATTGTCACCTGAACCTTTTTTATGCTATTTTGTTTTCAGGAGATTATACAGTATAAAATTAGTAACAAATTATTTGGAAAATAAAAAAATGAAATTAAATCAAATTATAAACCAAAACAGATGTTTAATTTTGTTTTGATTACAATATAACAGGTAGATATATAAGAATAAGTACATAAAAATTTATGTTCGGAACGTAAAATCATAAATCTGTGAATGATCAAATATGATCTCTCTTCCAATTCACAGCAATAATTCAATTAGAGTCTGGGTCGTAAAGGTTAATAAAAAAACGAGATATCATAGCGTTTTGAAATAAATGCACTGTCGGGAAATTCGGTAATTATCCAAAAAAGGTCAGAAAATATAGATAGATAGCTTTTTAGTATCTACCGAGAAAATTGTTAATGGAAGAATATTAGAATTTTTAAGGATATTAAAAATTGAAACGGGAATGATTGAACATAAACTCATGAAGCTTCAGCGCCATTATTCTTCAGGATTTCAATTTCGATTCCATCGGGAAATGAAGTATAGAATTCCCTATTCTTTTGTCGAAGCTCGGCAAGTTTTTCGTGACTCAATGTAATCAAACCCATTTTGATAAGAAATTCACAAACGGCTGTAATAGAGAAGAGAAACAATTTAATTTTAAAGTTAGGATGAATGTTGTTTAAATCAAACTTACTTGGGCCTGATAATCGATAATGAAGCTTTTCAAATCAAAAACGCATTGTTTCTTGATTTCGCACTTCAAGCAATTCTTTTTACTCAATCTTATGGTATATTTATACCCTTTCTTGGCAGTTCGTGGGCTATCTGATTTAGCGAACCAACCACAGGTAGCCAGACTGTGTCTTAAGGAATTTTTCCAATGTTGACCAGCAATTTTGAAGTAAGGAAAACAAGCCCTGTTGAGAAAAATTAATCAGAATTTTTAAACTGAAAAATGGTGAACCACAAATAAACGCTTACATTAAAAATCTATAAACTTCAGAAACTTCTTGTTGACGAGTAGAAACACTACAGATAGCTAAGGCACATACATGTAGTATGTTATGTGAAAAAGGTGGTTTTAGATATCGATTGTGGGTCGAAGAATATAAAGCATGAATATCAATGATACAATCCTCAATTATTTGCTTTTTTCCACTTTTGGCCGGTTTCTGGAAGTATTTCAAATGTTTCTTGCAACAAGAGCCTTCCTGACTAGTTAAGGGTTGCGAGACAGGTAAGTTTTGAGATTCATTAAATCCACTGATTGAACCATGGGATGATCCATAGGAACTAGAAAACGCTAATGGCTGAGAAAAATTATCAAAACTTTGATTCTTTGAGTTGTCCAATGATTTTAATTGAAAATATTATCTTGATATCTTTGAGAATTTTGATTTTTAGATCGTTGAGAGAGCGAAAAAACTCAGAACGTCTAAAATAACCATCTTTTAGGAGCTGATTCAAACAAGTAATCAGAAGTCCAAGCGGAAATATTTTCTTTAGCATTCTCACTGGTATCATCACCTTCGTCTTCAACAGAGAAGGGTGTTAGATTAACATCATTGAATTAGAGGGGTCTGTTTCCTCATAAATCATCAGGCTGACCAATTAATCAACTGGAACAAGATCGATTGGTGTGTATATTATAAAGATCAATAATATATTACTTATTCCTTTATTCATTTCAAAATAACCGCAAATATTTTAAGGTGGTAAGTTGAAGGAAAAAGGAAAGGTAAAAAGAAAAACATATTGACATTCACTGTCATACCTATGGTAAAATTAACTGGGAAAACCATTTTACTTTGCAAGTCAATTTTTATTAATTAATTTATATGAATTTCAACTTAGGTTACATATGTTTACTTTTACTTATGATGAGTCCAAATCATATACTAAATTAAAGACTGACTTCTTGTTACTTTATTTTTTTTTTATACTCGTTAGTCTGACCTCTTTTCGGTCTGACTTGGTCTACGTGACTTTTCACTTCTCCTTTTTTTCTCGCATAAATTTTACTTACTTAGTCATTGACCTGACAGTTTTTATGTCTCTCTTTTATTTATTTATCTAGAATTTGCATCTTTTGGGTATTGAATTTACGTTAAATCCCGATTTCTGGGAAACACTTTATGTTTAAAACTATTTTTATTATTCAACTTTTAGATGTACCAATTCTTGGAAACAATTTTCTCAATTCTTGCATCTTCCCCAACTTATTTAAGCCGAAGCCTCTTTCGGCTAGAATTTATCATTATATTTGTTTATTTAATCACATTTACTTTCTTTTAATATTCAAATTTAGCGGACTTTCATCTTTCACCATAGTTTTACCAATGTTCACTAGATGGCGCCACTGTATTGATCAAAGCTCATAAATTCCAACCTTTTACTTCCTTCTTTCTTATGATACTATCACGATTTAGTATTTGATTTATTCCTCTGTGTTTGCTATTAATTTTTAATTCTTATTTCTTGTCTTTTCAAATCATAAATGACGTCAAACAGGTAAGTCTGACGATGTTCGGGTTTCTTTTATGGTATCCATGATTTCTTTCTTTCTCTCTTTTTCTTGACAGCTTTTGGATAACCTCGTAGGTTTGGACGGATTTGAGCAAGAAGCGAGACTTCTTGTGTTCTATGCGACAGATGCAAAGTCACACCCAATTCAGATTCAGACAATTTGGAACTGACAATTAAACGTATGAGGGAAACAGGTATACCTATTTCTAGCCAATAAAATGGAGGCAAACCCAGATTGGGGCATTTGGAGAGGATTTGATCTCAAGGTTGAGAATTTAAAATGTCGATGGTGTGCTTTTGCTTGCAGCTTTAACTTGACAAAGCGCTGGTCAAATCCAGTCCAACATTTGGCCCGAATTCATCCCTTCAAAATTGGTAATTGTAGGGGACTTCCTCAATGTGAGAAAGTTATTTGGCTTAAACGTTTACACAAGTAATGTACATGTAATTTCTGTTAATTTTTTGATGAAATAAAGAAAATTTGAATTGCAGTACACATTTTAACCTATTTATTCCAACACATTTACTTTCCTTGTGGCTGTTTTTGTTTTTGTTTTTTTTTGGATCCGATATCGAATCTTGGTATGGGGTTCAGATATCGATGTTCTATGGTTAAACGCATTCGATTATCGAAAATTTAATTTTTCTTATTTTCTCATTTTAAATGATAATTATTCACTTTACAGTGAAAGTGAATGATTAAAGTGATTATCGTAAGTTAAATTCAATCACAAAGAAAGATCACTATCCCTTACCTAATATCAACGATGCATTGGACTATCTATGTGCGTCAAACTGTTTTTACAAGCCTTGACCTTAAATCTGGATACTATCAAATTGGTTTCGACGAAACAGACAAAGAGAAAACTGCTTTTGTGGTAATGGATGGACTTTACGAGTTTAATGTGATGCCTTTCGGGCTGACCAATGCTCCAGCGACCTTTCAACGTTGTATGGATGTATTGTTATCCGGGTTGAAGTACAATTCCTGCCTAGTCTATCTCGACGATATCTTAGTTTTCAGTAAAACTTTTGATGAACACTTGGAAAATCCTTGATCCGAAGTAGATCCTTGATCGCATTATCGGTGCAGGCTTGAAGCTAAACCCAGCCAAGAGTATGTTTACGTTGCGTTAAGTGACTTACTTAGGTTTCAAGATAACCCAAGATGGACAAATTCCCGAACCATCCAAAATTACTGCAGTCAAAAACTTTCCTATTCCGAAATGTGTTAGAGATGTTAAATCCTTTGTTGCCTTTTGCAGTTATTATCGAAAATTCATCAAAAATTTTGCAAGTATTGCTAAACCATTAACAATGTTCACAAAACAAGCCGTTCCATTCCACTGGGAGCAACCACAACAACAAGCCTTCGTAACTCTACGAGATGCTATGATTAACGCACCTGTCCTAGCCCTTTACCAAACAGGCTTACCAATTGAAGTAAGGACTGACGCATCTGGAACAGGAATGGGCGCTGCAATATTGCAACAACATGGTAATGATTGGCGACCGGTTGCCTTTGCAAGTAGGCAGATGAATATACATGAACTCAACTATCCGATTTCAGAGAAAGAATGTCTAGCAATCGTCTTCGCCTTAGAAAAGTTTAGAGTTTACTTGGAACATAATAAGTTCAAAGTTATTACTGATTATTGTGCCTTAGCGTTTTTACAGACTAAAAAACAACTCCACGCTAGGTTAACAAGGTGGGCCTTGTTACTTCAAGAGTTTGACATGGTGATCGAGTATAAGAGTGGCAAACATCATGCTGACGCGGATTGTCTAAGCCGATACGCCGTTGGACAACCGGAGGACACATCAGAGTTTGAAGAAAGAGTGCGTGTTTTCAATTTTGCTACCCCAAAACTGCCTGAAAACTTCCAAATTGAACAACAAAAGGACAGATTTTGCGCAAACATTATTGAAAAAATGCACAACTTGAGTGACCTTTCAAATCAAAAGAAAAAGAAAATAGCAAAGTATCTGTTAAAGGATAATCTCCTTTATAAAAAGGTTTGGAGTGAACGAAAAGAATTGAATCTCTTGGTGGTTCCCAAAAGTTTACGAACACTAATTTGTACACTTCGTCACGATTCCATCTATGCTGGATATCCAGGAATTGCTAAAACCTATGAAAAAATACGGGGTTCATACTATTGGCCTGGGATGTCAATGTTTAGCAAACATTTCGTGTCAACCTGTTACCTCTGTCAAACAAAAAAACACCCACGCGACAAGGAAGCAGGTAGACTCCAACCGATTCAGGCCACCTACCCATTTGAAAGAGTGAACATTGGCATTCTTGGCCCCTTACCCAAAGCTCATGGAAAGAAATATATCATCGCAGCA